ACATTGTAGCTCTCAAAGCAGTACAGGCGCTGCCGCCAGAATCGCGTGTGGGCGGCATCCGGGTTGTCCATGAGCATGGGCACCAGCACCAGCCAGGTAAGAAAGTCGACAGCCAGAGACATCTGCGGCGGCGGCGGCGGCGGCGGCGGCGGGTGGGCCCCGGCGGGCGGCGCGCGGCAGCGGGGTGGGCCGTGAGCGGCGGGGTGGGCGGTCGTGCGGGCACACGCAGCGGCGGCAGGCGTGGGGAGGGCGGGAGGGCCCCCGCACGTTGTACGACTCAAAGTTGTGGTACACGGCACGCCAGTAGGCGGCGCGCTGAGGCTCCCCCTCCTCCCTCTCCAGCATGGGTACCAGCACCAGCCAGGTCATGACATCTACCAGCAGAGCCATCTGCACACCCAGGCGGCCGGGGGCCGGCGGCCGCGCTGGCAGCCCTCCGCGCATGCCCGGCTGGCAGGCGCCGCGCATGGTAGGGGCGCGGCCTGCCTTTGTCGCAGGCAGCGGCCGCACCCCCACCCCCGGCGGCTGTAGCATGCCGTCGGGGCTGCCCCAGCACTCACCGGCGTCACCACGCAGAATGTGGCCAGGGTGGCGTTGCCCAGCCAGTCCACGCCCCGGGACGGCTGCGCGGCGCCGTGCGCGCGTCGGCGCTGGCGCGCGCGCCGCCGCCAGGCAGCCAGGCTGGCCGCGCTGCCGAGCGCAAAGAAGGCGGTGAGCAGCCACCAGTTCCACACTGCAGGGGGCGTGAGTGGCATGCGTGTGCCGGCAACGGTCGGCGCGGGGACAGCGGCCACTGCCTGGATCTCGCAGCAGCGCGCTTTGTGCACAGCGGCGAGACATGGCTTGCGCAGCGGGCAGCCACCGGGCGCCGGCCCCGGCCACCTGGGCCTACCTGTGTAGAACACAAACACCCTCCTGCCCTTCTGCACCACCTGCCGCACACCGATGAACAGCGACCAGCCCAGCATGGCCAGTCGGTAGGCCAGCAGCAGGTGTGGGGGGCCTGCAGCGCGAGGGCACAGCGGATGATGCGCCGAGCGGCAGCGGCAGGCATCGGCTGCAGACCCAAGCCGCCTCTGCGTGCCCAGCGGGCCCCACGCCCAGCCCCTCTCACCTACGCTGCTGGCAATGATGTCGTCAGGTCGCAGCCCACCATTCTTGCGGTTGCTGCAGGGCAGGAGGCGGCAGCAACCACCAGGAGCGCTCGGCAGGCGGCAGCGCTGGGGAGCCAGGGCCACGGGGGGCGAAGGGTGGCGGGCGGGCGGCGGCATGCTCCAAATGTGTCGGCAGCGCATGCACGCCAAATAGCACGCCCCACAGCCTGCTTTTGATGCGAACAGAGAGCGTGTGTGGGGAAGTGCACGTACAGCACAGGAAGCGGCCAACGGACCTCAGATTGATGAATATGATGCGCCAGGCCCAGGCGGTGACTTTAACGAGATAGATGACAGTGGGCAGCACCATGGCGCCTTCAGCGGGCACACTCCACAGGCCGCTACAGGCCGCCACCCAGCTCTGGGGGAGAAGCCTGGGTTGGGCGCATGCCCTGGAGAGGACCCACGATGGATGGGGGTCCGGGGGCTTATGCCGCCAGCGGGGCGGGCTGCACCCCGGCTCCCACACATCCTGCGAGAATTTTGCTGGCCATCCTGCATTTCCCCACAGGGCTGGTATGCCGTTCAATGCTGTCTCGTCCAAAATTGCTTCATTACTGTGCCATTCTATCTGGGCAACCCACCCATCCGCCGACGAGCCAACCCGTGCATCCCAGCCGCCGCCGCCGCGCCGTGCCCGCCCAGCGCTCCTTGGCAACCTGCTTGATGGATGCTCACAGGCCATGGGAGGGCCATGGCAAATCAAGTTGAATGCATGCATGGCATTGATGTCTGTGCACTGAAATTGACAGGTGAATCGCCGCAACGTCATCTCTCTCTGGCGCCCGCTCCTGCGGTCACATTCCAGCCTGCTGCACTGGCCCAGTCACTTCTTCCCGAGCTCCACATACGCCTTCAGCGACAGCAGCGGGTCCCCGCCGCCGCCGGCAGCAGGCCGGGCCCCCTGCTGCGGCTGCCCCGCCTCTGGCGCCGCGCCCCTCCTCCCACCAGCGCCGCTTGTCCCTGCTGCGCCCTGGGCCCGCGCAGCCGCCTCGCCAGCAGCCGCAGCCGCGGCAGCCCTGGCCGCTCCCTCCTCAGCCGCCTCCAGCTCCTCCACTTGAGGCATCTCAACCATCTCTGCGCTGCTGCTGGACTCGGTGGGGCTGATGCGGCGGGGAGGCGCCACCAGCCCGCCAGCCTGGCCCTCGCCGGTGCCGCCGCCGCCGGGCCCTGCCTCCGCGCCCTGGCCAGCAGCAGCCGCCGCTGCGGCCGAGGGTCCCGCCTGCTTCTCGGCCCACTGCTGCAGCGCTGCCATGATGGTGATGCGTTCCTGCAGCAGGGAGGGCGGGACGGGCGGGAGGCGGCAGCAAGCATGAGCAGGTTGCTCGCAGCAAGGTGGCTTCCACACCTCGCAGCCAGTGGTTGGGGTAGGCTGGTGTGGGGCTCCCTGTTCCCGCCGCCATCAGATGATATCTCAAGGCGGTAAGCCACCGCAGGCACCACCCCAGCCCACCCTGTGCCCACCTGCACCGCCTCCAGCTTCCTCAGCAGGCGCCGCTTCCTGCCGGCGTTGCGCCCAAACATGGCCGCCACGTGCGCCAGCGTGCCGCCGGTCAGGCGCGCCAGCACAAAGGCGCCGCCCAGCAGCCACACGCCCTTGGACAGCAGCGGGGCAGCAGACTTGTGGAGCGGCAGCGCCTTGATGGTCTGGTGCACCAGCGCCACGCCAAACGTCACCGCAGCCGCCACCGACAGCTGCAGGCGCGGGGGCAGGCGGGGGCGACGGGCAGGGGATGGGGTCAGCCGGCGAGTCGTGCCTGCTCCAGCAATCTGGCTGCTGTTTCCCTGTCCACGCCTGCCGCCACCCAGCAACATGGGGCAACGACCCTGCTGCGCAGCTCAACTGCCCCGTTCTGGCTGCCCTCTGCTGCTGCGCACTCGCCTCCTGGGCGACAAGCTCTGGAGGCACCAGCTGGGTCTCAAACTCCTCCAGGTCAACCACCATGCCGTGCGCCTCTTCCTCCAGCGCCTCCACGTGCTGGCACAGGCTGCGGTACGCCCGCTGCACCACATTCAGGTCGCCGGCATGCATGTCCCCGAGCTTGCGCTGCAGGCGCAGCACCTGCAGGCACGCAAGGGCCGCGTGCAGGTGTGTGCGCGAGCGGGCGGATAGGAGCCGAGGGAGCCGAGTGGCTCGGTGGGCGGCGGCGGCGGCGAGGCGGTGCTGCCTTCCTTGTCTCCCACGGCAGCCTCGCGCATCGCGCTCACCTCCTGCTGCAGCGCTTGCACCTCCGCCTTCAGTCGCGAGGCCTCAGCCTCGGGCGCTGCAGGCCCTTGTTGGCCTTGGGTTGTCATGAACTGGTGTGTAGGCGGCCAACACCGGCTCGGGGTGGGAATGACAACACGGCAATTCGATTGAGATCGAGTTTGGCTGGAGGCTGGCTTTCTTGGAACTGCCGCCCGCCAGGCGGGCGGGCGGGCGGGCGGCCAGCCCCGTCAGCGGAATGCCCGCGACTCGACACTGGTTGCAGCGCGATGCAGGCCGCATGATTTGTTACAGGCAATCCTCGGCATTCATCAGAACAGTTGCAACTTGTCGTGTTGGAGGAATGCAGGATGCGATCGTCATGTGGTGCAGGCAGAAGCGCACGGGGTCAAGCGCATGAATGAATAGAGAATCAGCATATGACACACAGCACAGGCAAAAAGTGCACGCCCTCCAGAATGGTGGAAGGGCGGCCTCAAAACAAACACTTTGACCGGGTCAAAGGCGCACATCGGGCCCCCTCCGGCCCTCACGCCGTGTCCTTGAACTGGCCGTTGCGGTACTGCTTGGGCACCGTGTTCCCGCTGGCCCCCTCCTTCACGTCCAGCCAGTCCTCCATCCACTCCCAGGCCGCCCCCGCAAAGGTGGTGTTGATGCCTATGTCCTGCTCAGGCTTGGCGCAGCCCATGGCCTTGACGTCGATGGGCTGCCCCGCCTCCAGCGCCGCCACCGTCAGCGCGCTCTCCTTCCAGTGCGCCAGCCGCGGAGTGCAGCTGTCCTCGTTCTCGCCCAGCTTGCAGTCGCCGCTGCAGGGCGCAGTGGGCAGGGGAGGGGGAGTGGGAGGGGGGCAGGGAGGCAGGCATGCATGAGAAGGGCTGGACGATGGTGCAGGAGCAAGAGAGGGCCATGCCCGGCCGCCGCCACGCCGTGGCGCCGCACATCGTTTGCTGCCTCCACTGCCGCCGCCCTGCGCCCGCGCTGCGGCCAAGCAGTCCTGCGCAGGCCCTCCAAAAAACAGGGACCGCCGCGCCCAGCGCCAGGGCCCACCTGTACCACTCCATGCGGTCCTTCATGTTGCTCAGCAGCCCCGCGTGCCACTTGAAGTGGTGGATGGGCACCACGCTGTCGGCGGCCAGGCCGATCCACAGCCGCAGCTCCGGCGGCAGCTTCTCCTCAGCTTCTGGCGTGTCCTTATACCGGTACTTGTCCGCAAAGCGGTGGTAGGGGGTCTGGTTGAAGAGGTCCAGGTCAAGGTTGATGCCGCGCGGGCGGGCGCACTTGGCGGGGGGCGGGTCGCAGGTGCCGTAGTACGCCCGCGCGTCGTCTGCCTCCACCAGGTGCTGGCTGCCGCGGCTGGTGCGGTGATGCGCCTGCGAGGGGGGAGGCGTGCGGCTGGGGTGAGCCGGAGGGCGCAGGGAGATGCGCCGGCTCCGCCGCGCGCGCGCATGTGTGCGCGGACGGCCACCACCACCACCACCACCGCCACCACCAAAACAACGACGCGCCGCCGCGCCGCACCGCACCGCCGCGCCGCACGTGGGGCCGGCCGCTCACCCTGAAGGCCACCACCTTGGTGTCCCAGCCCTTGTACAGCTTGTTGGCCACCTGGCAGGCCAGCGGGTACTGCTGGAACAGCGGCGCCACGCCCGCCGCGGTGTCGCCCATGGGCTGCGCCACCGCCGCCAGCACGCCTCCCGCCGCCACGCGGTCCACAAACCTGCCGCGGATGTAGGTGGCCATGGGCATCTGGCTTTCAGCCAGGTCAGCAATCGCCTGCCTGCGCGCACACAAGTGGGCAGCCTCTACGGTCAGGGCGGCGCCGCCGGCTCAGGCGCTCGGCGCCGGCTGCGCGAGAGGCTGCGCCGCACGCCTCCGCGCCGCCGTTGGCCGCGGGCGGGTTCCATTCCGCACAGCACCTTGTCCCGCCCCTTGCCTGCTGCCCGCCGACCCCCACCACAGACCCCCCCACCACACCACACCGCCAGCCCGCTCACTTGATGAACTTTCCTCCCCAGTCCTGGAACTCGTCCACGTCCGCCGCCACCACCCAGTCCGTGGGGTCTGACACGTAGTCCGCCAGCATGGACAGCTGCTGCACCATGTGCTCCTCAGACGAGTACCGCCCCTCCCACACCCTGCAGGCAGGCGGGGCGGGCGGGCGGGCACGCCTGGCGGCGTCGGCACGCCGCGCCCTTGGCCGGCGCTGCGGCTCGATGCATGCACGGCCTGCTGCAACTGCACCGCTCCCTCCTTCCCATGCTCACACCTGGCACCTGCCCACTCCCCCCCCCCACCCGCCCACCACACACCCCTCCCCCCGCCCACCTGCACTCCACCGCGTATCCCGAGCAGATGCCCATGGCGTCCTCCAGCCCCTTGCGGCTGTACCTGCCCGGCGTGTGGTGCAGCAGCACCAGGAAGCGGCGCCATGTGATGCCCTGGCCGTGGTAGTAGTTCAGGAAGTGGGGCAGCAGCTTGTTGCCGTGGTAGTCGGTGTTGACCAGAGTGTACACCCACACCCTGCGGCAGGACGGTGGTACAAAACGCAGTGCGGTGGGGGGTGGCAGAGGAGAGCGCGGGAGCGTGATGTCGGCAAGGGGTGGCAGGCATGCGAGGGCAGGAGGCGCAGCGGGCTGGCGGAGGAGCGTGTGCCCAGCAGCCCGAGACAGCCAGGCAGCAGCTCGAATCGGCGCGGATGGAGCGCACGCAGGCTGCACGGCCGAGATAGGGCGGCGGCCGCCTTCGGGCACCCGCCCTCGCCCTCCCCAGCCGCTGCGCCGGCCAATCCGAGCCCGCCACCACACGGCCAATTCATGGGGCCGAGGGTGAGCGCTGCCACGGCTCTCAGCCAGGGGTTGGTTGGGAACAACCCCATGCAAGAGCCATGGTGACGGACATGCGGGTAGGGCTGCAGCGCCCCGCCCAGAGCAGCGGCGCACCTGGAAGCCACGGCATTCCCGGCTAGGCACAGCAGCAGCAGCGCAACCGCGAAGCTGGAGCCGTGTAGCCGCGCCATGTGCTAGATGCGCGCCTCCTGCAGCCCTGGGCACTCGCTAACGGCTGCACTTGGCTTTCATACGGCCTAGAGTGCGGCCGTGACTGCGCCAACCCGCGCCACTGCCCGCCACGCTAGGGAGAGGACGATCTGGCTCCTGGGCTGTGTGCGTTGCTCGACAAGGGCTGTAGGCGTGAATAGAAGCAGCTTCTTGAAGAAGATGCCCACTTGCGGCTGCAAGCCGCTGGTATGGCGGCTGAGAGCCATGTCAGCAGGTGCCGCCCCTGCTGCGCTTGGCCCTCCCGCCCCTGCTTATGTCACCTGCGCCAAACCGCTGGCTGCGAGCATGCTGCTTCTCGGAGTGGCCCTGCTGCTGCTCGTCATTTTTCTTCGACTTTGAAGGTTCTAGGATCGCCCAGCTAGTTTACAGCCCCAGGTAGCAGGGTAAGCGGCGGCTGAATGTGCTCCCGCATATTCCTGCCGCAAGTTTGGAGAAGGCCAAATGTAAAGATGAAGGCCAGATGCTAGCTCCATATCACGTTATTCCCAGTTCCCAGTACCGTCATCAGTCCTGTCACTGAGGCACCTGCCGCTGGCACCCCCTTCGCCCGCTCAACACGCCGCGACCGGCTGCGGCGGCAGCGGCGCCGCACGCTGCTGCTGCATCTCCTCGGCCACCACCGCCTGGAACTCGCGGCGCACGCAGCGCACAAAGCGGCTGAAGCTGCCGCCGGCGTTGAGCTCCGCCAGCAGCTCCGCCATGCGCGGCAGGGGGGGCTCGCAGGATTGCACTGCAGGCAGGGGCAGACCGACAGGTGGGTTGTTTGCATCCTGAGCAGCCTGCAACTACCGCTGCCGCGCTACCCTTCAGCCAGAAGGTGGATGCACAAACGCAGCGCCCGCCTGTCCACCTCTCCCCTCTTCACACTGCTGCACAAGCACAGCACATGCGCGCCGCTGCCGCTGCCCAAGCCAGCCGCCGCCCTCGCGGCTCGCCCAAACCGCGCCCCCAACGCACCCGCGTAGCTGTTGTCCCCCACCACCTGCACCGCAAACTGGAAGGCGCGGGCGTGGTCGCGGGGGTCCACCTGCGTCACTACCACCCGCAGCTGCTCGCCGTCGGCCTCGCTGTGCTGGAAGTCGAGGCCCAGGCGGCGCTGGTACATGGCCAGGGCCTGGTGCAGGGCGCCCAGCTTGCGCTCCTTCAGCGCCTCCTGGTTGGACAGCGCTGCGCCGGGCGGCAGCAGGGGCGGGTGGGGGAGTGCAGCAGTGGGTGAGAGCAGCGGAGGCGACGCAGCAAGTGTGTGCGCGTGTGTGTCGCAGCGCAAAGGGGCGGCAGCAAAGGGAGGCAGGCAGGGACGGCTCAGAGCAGGGGGCTGCTTCTCGAAAGAGCCTCGACAGCGCGTGCCCACTGCCGTTGTTTCCCAGGCAGCAGGTACAGCCGGGTGCCAGCTGCGCGCTCACCCGCCTCCTGCCGCTGGAAGGCATCCGCCTCTGCCTCCAGCGCCTCCTGCACCTCCCGCACCAGCCCCGGCAGCTTGCCCTGCTCCTCGCGAATGCTGGCCAGCTCCTGCTGCAGCCCAGCCACCTCGCCCTCCTCGGCGGCCAGCCCTGCATGCGGTGGCAGAGCGGGGTCAGACCAGCAACACCTGCTGAAGCTGCGCCAGGCCGTATGAACAATCGGCAACGTGTGAGTGGCTGCACCGCTCAGTTCCGCACCATGGTGGCAGCAGCAGCGCCCGTGGCGGCCGCAAGTGCTTACGCTGCTTAACATCTGCTGCTCGCTGCTCGAGCTCTGCCTGCTGCTGCTCCAGGCCCCGAATGGCGGCTGCAGGCAGGCGTGGTGGGACCACAGGCGTTGGCGGCACGCAGCGGCGACCGCGGCAGCGGGCGCCCCTCAAAACCGCAAAGCTTGCGGCATGAAGCACTCAGGCCCCTACCTATCCCTCCCCTTGCCCCTTTCAGAGAATCAGGCCCGTCAGCGCACCTTGGAACTCCCTCAGCCTGCCCAGGTGTCCGTCGCAAAGGCTCGCTGCGCCGGCCACCGTGCGCTGCGCCCACGCGTGGAACTTGGTTTGGAACGAGTCCAGCTGCCGCTGCAGACCCTGCAGGTCGATGCGGGCTGCCATGGTGTCCCAGTCGTGTCGCTGGAGGGGACAGGGAGCGTGGGAAAGCCCAGCTGTGATCGGCTGCGCGTGCAGGGTGGGGTGGGAAGACGCTGCGGTGAGCACGTGGCGGTCCCCCCGGGGCTGCAGAACGATGCGGGACACCCTCCGCGTTGCTCGTTTTCATTCCCGCTTCCAGCTGTCCTGTCCTGCCGACTGTCCCGCAGCGTGTGCCGGCTTACACAGCGGCGCATCGAGCAAAATGCCCTGCGTCACGCATCGAGGCGTCGACTGTCGTGAGCCAAACCCGCCGCGCCACCAGCCGCGGCTCCTCCAAACACGCCTGTAGCGACACCTCGGCTGGGCCGCGCTGTGGTGAGCCCCCCTTATGTCTGGAGCCCCCTAATTGATTGAAAGACCGTGCAGACACCTGCTGGCGGTGACAGGGGCCCACCGCGTGCACCTCCCCTGCAGCCCCTTCCGCCACGCGCCTTATGCAGCCCCAGCCGGCCCGATGAGCCGGTGGGCAGTAGCTCTGGTGCTGGCGACGCTGCTGCTGGCCAGCAGCGGCGCCAGCAGCCAGGGCGACAGCAAGGAGGCGGCGGCCCCAGCCGCCGCTGAGCCGCCCCCACCCGACCTCGGCTCGCAAGGCCAGCAGGACGAGCAGCAATACCTGGGACCAGACACGAAGGGAGGATCGGGTGGGGTGGGGCCGGGGGGGGACACCGGTGTGGATGCAGCCAACATCGACGGCAGCGGCGACATTGGCAACATTCTGGGCGACGCCAGCCCAAGTCCCAGCCCCAGCCCCAGCCCCAGCCCCAGCCCCAGCCCCAGCCCGTCGCCGCCTGAAGGTGATAATGGGGAAGGGGGCTACTCTCCCAGCCCCTCTCCCAGCCCCTCTCCCAGCCCGGGGCCAGACGGCGACTCTGGCGGCGGCGGCGGCGATGGGAGCCCCCCTGCCCCCGCGCCGGCACCAACGCCCACGCCGTCCCCCGCCCCCTCCCCAGACGGCGGCAAGGCGCCCGCCGCCAGCGTGCCATCCCCGCCCGCCCCCGCGCCGGCGCCGACGCCGGGCCCGGCCTCACCGCCGCCGCCGTCCCCCGACGATTTCATCATCGCAAACGAGTCGCCCTCCCGGGGATCCTCAGA